TGATTAATACTGCAACTGACCCTTTGCTACTCCTAAGCTTGATCTACTTTTCCTTTTCTCCACATTACTAACTTCCCTCTAACACACTCTTTACTTACTCATTTATGGAGTTTATTGTTTGTGGGTCATTTCCCAATCCACCTACCACTGCTAGGATATAAATTCCATGAGTGTAGAAATCTTGTGTTTTATATATTAATGTATTCCAAGTACTTAGAACAGTGCCAGGAACATAGTGGGTATAAAAGAAATAGTGCTGAGTGAACAAACTAACACTAGCTTTGGCATGTAAGGAAGCACCAACTGGAAAGCCTATATGAGGCCAAATTTAGAAAAGAGTAAAGCCGGGGCTAGAAAATAAAGTTTGTAACATGTATGCTGGCACTACAAAATTTTCTCGAAACATAAATTTATTTGGGTAGCATTTGTCTCCAGAATTTCTGCAAAAATATATTTTAAATTTATTTTTATTTATTTGTTTATTTTTGAGATAGTCTTGTTCCATCACTCTGGCTAGAGTGCAGTGGTGTCATGATAACTTACTGCAGCCTCACACTCCTGGGCTTAAGCAATCCTCTTGCCTCAGCCTCCTGAGTAGCTGGGGTTAGCTAATTAAAAAAAAATTTTTTTTTTTTAAAAAGCTCTTCTATTAGAGAAAAGTGTTAATAAACGAAACTAACCAGGTTCCTATATACAAAAAATGTCCAGGGGCATCAACTATCTAGATTTTTTCTTTTTATAAACTTCTGCATCTGTGTAGGATTGCCTAGACTGATTGCCAATTTTCTTTTCTTAATCTAAGTTCTATTCTCATTACCCTTCCATTTCTATTTTTTATCCTCAGGGAAACAGAGAGCAGTTACTACCAGGGCATTCTCACATCTTCCAAAGAAATGGCATAGGTGTTAATCTTGTATTTATGTTTGATGTGGGTAATGACGGCTATGACTGGAGCTGTAGGTTTATTAATATGCAGGGCTCTCACCTCATTAGTGGCGATGTATGTTTTGAAGTTAAGCTGCAATGTTTGCTGTAATGTTGGATCTGGCCTAACAGATTTTCTCACTGTTCATTTTCTTTGTTTTTACCCACAGTCAGCACATGCTATGCTTATAGCACCTCGCATATGCCTTTTAATAAAGACAATTTTTCCACAGTAGTTAATCTTGGTGGGAGTTTCAAACATTTTTATAATTATGTCTTCATGTACATTTCATCATATTTGGTCCATCTTAGAGAAAAGATTTTTATAATTTTGACTCAGTAATATAAAGTACAATAAACTCTCTCTTTGGATTGATTTGGGAGTGGAGTATTCTTATCAACTGGATAAAGTGATTAATTCATAGTTATAATGAAAACATACCTACATTATTAGCACTTGATAGTAACTGACAAAGTACTTTCACATATATTATCCCAACCAACTCTTAAAAAGAACATAATAAACAACAGGAACACCTGATTGAACACAATATTTGATAATCCATTATGAATAGCAACTGTTGTATTTCAATTTCCATTTGACATAATACACTACCAAATAAACTAACTTTGACCAGGTTAGCAATCCTCATGGGAAGCGTAGTTTCTCACTGCTTATTGTTCAGATTTCATTCTATTATATAGTTTTCACTGGATACACACTAAGGCAAAGACTCTAGATTTTTAACAGTTTAGAAGTCATTAGCTATGTTTAATAAATTCTAAAATATACTACATATATGTATATTATATATTTCCTACAGCTAAAAATCCAGCACCCCTGTATTCCAAAAAAGCCATTTAAATGTGAAAAATAGTTTGTTCTCTTTTCTCATTAGGTAATTGAACATCTTCATTTCTTAATCTTTTGAAATTTCTGCTCATACGTAAAAAGCAATTTCCTTTTTTTCTTTCCCTGGTTTTTAGGGGCAGCATTAGAAAATGATGATTAGAGGAGCACGTACACTTAGCCCAAGACAAAGGAGGAAAAGGTGAGGATCACTCATTAGTATTTCTCTTTCACCATCTTCTTTTCACTGTCTTCTCACAGTACCTATACCCAGCTCTCCTCCACCCTGTAGAAAGACCTGTCTTTGATTTGACAATGTGACACATATTCAGCTAAATTCCCATCATCATTCATTTAAAGAAAGCAAAAATGAGTACATGTGCTTTTAAGAAGGCAGAGCAATAAGCATATATAGCAAAAGTGCATAGACAAGTATATTACCTATTTAATTGCCTTAGCTGAACTTAAAAGCTCTGATCTTTAATTGCCTGATTGAACTGATCTAAAAAGCTACAATTTTTTAATCAAGGAGAAAATTAAATAGCTTTTTGGTAAATAAAAAGGCATCTTTAATCTTATTTTTATGGAATCCAAGTTATTAAATATGGACAAAACCTCTAAAATATTAAGTTAACAACTACTCAATCTAGGCTAAATTTCCCATTACAATGCTTTATAAAAGTCTTCAGGGACACCTGGCTTCTTCCACTCTTCAATAAAAACACATGCTTTTAAATCCAGACGGTAGAAGATTCCATAAGTAGTTAGGAAACTCAAAAGCTACATATATAAATATATTTTAATGAGGTATATTACCACAGCATATTTATGTCTATAGTTGAGTATCTATAACTACTGGGGAATAACTGTTCATCTGCACTGCAATTCATTAGTCTTTCTATCTAGACAGATATAGACACATAGTGGAATCCCTTAAGAGGATTTGTGGGCACACTACCACTGCCCCTACACAGCCCCTCACAGATATCTTCTTCTCACAACAAGAGGTATTTTATACAGGGCTACTCTCCATAGGAATTGGTCTGGCCAGCACAGACTGAAAAGAGTACAGGCTCAGGATTCCCTTTTGAAACCTCCATGCCTTCAGTCAAGCCACTGCAGTCCTTGTACATAACTGATCAAAGAGGCGTTTGTTAGCCCAAGGGGCAACCAGAGCTGAGAAGGACTTACTGGACCCTGAGAGGCTCTGGTCAACCACACATGCCCACAGTGATCATAAGATGGTTGTACTGGGAATCTGACCCTAGTCTTTATTTTTAGATCCAGATAGATCCATTCAGAATATATCCATCAGGATCCCATTGCAAATGAAAAATTGAGTTATTTCTCTGAAACACAGAGTAAAACTAAAACCAAATAATTTAGATACAGGAAGATTTACGGTGTATCAACTTATCAGCATGATTTCTACTTTTAAAGAGGGAAAGTAAAGATGATTACAGAATAACTAAAACGTGTTTCCCTATCCACTGTGGTTCTTAGTGCTGCTAAGATTCTTCATAGCAAGTTATGGCAAGATAGAGATTTCATTATAAGCCAGAATTATCCTGTATGTCCAGAGTATAGGATGATCCTTAGACTCACTTTCACAATAACACTCCAATTTCCATGGCATGGTTCTTTAAAAAGAAAGGTTTGCTATTGAGAACTGACATCTTCATTTTGTTCCTTTGTCAAATAGACAGCAGATGTCCATTAAAAAAAATCAATAAAATGATGAGAACTGACCACTGGGTTAATTCCTATTAAAATGGCTATAACTACTTTATGGGTTGGTGGGTGTGAGGAGGTAGAAGTAGAGGGGATAGAAGCAATGTAAGTCACATCATGTTAAACACCATTCTTTCTTAATCTTGGTAGTGAAAAATGTTCCATTTTCTTTCACCCATGAAATGTGTGTACATACTTATTTATACCCAGAGAAAGTAATGCTAACACAATTCAGCTCATTCTCTCTACACCTATATTTTGCTATTTTGCATTAGCTCTACTCCAGAAACGGAGTGGACTGGTCTTAAAAATTTTTTTTGGTTTATGATTCCATTTAATCAATATAAATATCTTCTAAAACTGAATTAATATTTTACTTGTCAAAACTAGATACTCTCTTTAAAAGAAGAAGGAAGATTTAAGAAGAGATTTGAAATAACTAGGATATTAAAACTACCACAAAACAACCATTAATAATAGATGTGATACTACAGTTTAAGACGTCAATTGTTTTTTCCCTCTCATAGTTTATGCCATTTAAAAAAAAAAAAACTTTCCTTTAATCACATCTAATGTGTATGCAGTTGTATTCCCCGAAAGTATATAAAGCTAAGATGAACAGATGTGTAAAATTAAACAGTACTGTTAGTAACATCAGGCCCTGAAGTTGCTTTGTTATAGTCTCTTCCTCTCTTAATAATTTGTTCCAAATGAATTCAGACATTTTGAGAACATTAAAGAAAACAAAAAAAAAAAGGAGTTTCCTTTTGCAACATTCAACAGTTCTCTGATTATTCTTTCATGTGCTCTGTTACTAGATTAGGGGATTATTTCTGATGCTTTAACCAGTGCTTATTTAAAGTTTCACTTTCCAGGTATGTGAAGTAACCTCTTAAGCTGGGGTCCTCAAACTACAGCCCGAGGGCCACATGTGGCCCGCAGAGGACATTTATCCCGCCCACCAGGTGTTTTGCCAGGTGTTTTTGCCGAAGCTGCCTGTCCTGCTTAGCAGCTGATTTGTCCTGGGCCCACAGTGTGCATGTGTGGAATGTGTGACACACTCTCCAACGGCCCTCCAACTGTCTGAGGGACAGTGAACTGGCCCCCTGTTTAAAAAGTTTGAGGACCCCTGCTTAAGGAGCAGTATATGATGATATCTGAAATGTTAATATAAGGAGGTGAAATTGTACAGAAAGTGAAAGCTTTATATTAACAAGAGTTAAATAAGACAAATGAGATCCTGTCATTTTCAAATACTATGAAATTATCTTTTTACATGTTTGATAAATGTGATTCACAAAAATACAATGCCAACTTTATAATCTAAATGAGAGCAGTTGAGGGAGAAAATAAGAAAAAAACATTTATAAACAAGCCTTTTTGACTACCAAATACATAAGCTGGCTTAAATGTCAGATCATTTATTCACTTTAAAAATCTAGAGAGCCCACCTCCCACCTCAAATTAAATTCAAGTTTATAAGCGCAGCACATACCTCTATGTAAAATCTTTAAACTCCACAAATAGGTAAGGCCTTTAACAACCTAAATTTAGAAAAAGAAAACAGTATAATTACGGTTTTTATAAGAAACTTTCTACATTTAAACATATCAACCATAATTCTTCCTTTAAAATTCTGTCAACCAAATAAACATTTATTGAATATCATCTATTTCTGTGCCAGGTTTTGTGGAACACCAAATGTAAAAGCTATAGGTTCCTTCCTTTAATGAACTTATAATGTTCTAAAGATAAGGTATGCCAAATGAAAGAAATAAGTGCATATGTACATAAAATGACCCACAAGTACATATGCTAAATTCTTAATGGTGCTATGCAGGCAAGGAGAGGGATAGCAAAAGGGGACTTTTTTATTTTCTGTAATTGTATGTATAAAACTTTTTCTGAAGTCATGACATTTATGACAAAGGAGATACATTTTTAAAACGTTAACTAGGGCCAGGCATGGTGGCTCACACCTGTAATTCTAGCAGTTTGGGAGGCCAAGGGAAGAGGATTATTTGAGGCCAGGAGTTCAAGACCAGTCTGTGTAAGAACGAGATGCTGTCTCTACCAAAAATAGAAAAAATTAGCTGGGCATGGTTGTGTGTGCCTGTGGTCCCAGCTACTCAGGAGGCTGAGGCAGGAGGAGGATCACTTAAGCCCAGGAGTTTGAGGTTGCAGTGAGCTATGATGATGCCACTGCACTGGAGCCAGGGCAATAGAGTGAGACCCTGTCTCAAAAAAAAAAAAAAAAAAAAAGAAAAGAAAAAGAAAAAGAAAATGTCAGCTAATGAAATAAGGCAGTGGGTAAAACAGAAACTGCTTTTCCCATCAGTAGTCAGAAATGCTTTACCAGTATTGGTCCTTGAGTAATATATTATAGATTCAACTGATGTCAAGAAAAGAGAAGAAAGTATTCAGGCCAAGGTAAAAAATACATAATCAAAGTGTTGGGGCAGTATACTCTTCAAAAATATCCAATTCATGAAAGAGAAAGAAACACTGAGGCACTAGAGAGACATAACAACCAAATGCAATGTGTAATCCTATACTGGATGCTGGACCAGAACTTTTTTTCCTTTGGTCCATAAAGGGTATTATTGGACAATTGGAAAAATTTGAATAAGGGCTATTGAATACAATCTAGTAGTAGTATATAAATACTAGGTTCCTGATTTTAATCATTACACAGTGATTATGTAAGAGAGTGTCCTTACTCTTAGGAAATAGACATCTAAAGTATTTTGGAGTAAAGGGCATAATGCCTATAATTTATTCTCAAATGTTTCAGAAAAAAATGTGTATACAGATTTTTAACCAAATGTGGTAAACTATTAACAACTGAGAAATCTGGATGAAGCATCTTTGGGAATTCTTTGTATTATTTTTACAACTTTTCTGTAAATTTAAAAATAAAAAGTTTTATGAAAAAATTTTTTAAGCAAACTGTGATAGGAAAGAATAAAGTATATCAGGATGACTATCACAAGCCAGTGTGGCTGGTCTAAAGCACATATGTGCAGAAGTCACAGAGACAAGGTATCTGGAGATATCTGAGAGGGCAGACCAAGGAAACAAAATGAGGAAATACAAACATCTGAATTAGATTTGGATTTTTCACTTTAATAGCCTGAGTCAGGAACAATTAGTCAAATGAAATTACTGAAAAAAGATGTTTCTAAGATCCTACATACATGGGTTACAAGTGCTACCTTCTATGGGGAAAATTTAATAAGTGGTTGTTAATAAGAACTTTAAAGCTCTTTATATGGAAATTGTTGTACAAGGAGATGCACAAGTTTTATTCACAATCATTGACCCTGTATGCTCATGAGTGTGAACTTGCCAATTTCAAGGTTAGCTATTCATAACTGGATACCAGATACATTGAATGAACCACTATTACTCAAAATTTACTAAAAGAATTTAAAAGTATCCATCATTATAGACAATTTTAGATGAGTCAGGGCTACAAGAACAAGAAAACCTATCATGATGAGAAGTAACTGAGTGGTTTACACATCTCGAAAATAATGAAAAGAGGGTTGGGGGGTAAATATAGAAGGATTTTAGTTGATTAAGAAAGACTAAGAGTAATATTAAAAATAAGAAATGCAATGGGGGCTGGTCGTGGTGGCTCATGCCTATAATCCTAGTACTCTGGGAGGCCGAGGTGGGTGGATTGTTTGAGCTCAGGAGTCCAAGACCAGCCTGAGCAAGAGTGAGCCCCTGTCTCTACTAAAAAAAAAAAAAGAAGAAGAAGAAGAAGAAGGAAATTAGCTAGACAACTAAATAAAATTAGGCAGGCAGGCATGGTGGCACATGCTCGTAGTCCCAGCTACTCAGGAGGCTGAGGCAGGAGGATCACTTGAGCACAGGAGTGTGAAGTTGCTGTGAGCTAGGCTGATGCCATGGCACTCTAGCCCAGGCAACAGAGTGAGACTTTGTCTCAAAAAAAAAGAAATGTAATGGGGGTACGATATATACTATTCAGGTGATGGCTACACTAAAAGCCCAGATTTCACCACTATGCTATACATCCATGTAACAAAACTGCACTTGTACTACCTAAGTCTATAAAAAGAAAAAGAAAAAAAAAGAAATGCAACAGTGCAATGGGAGAAAACCAATTTCTAAATACTAAAGATCTAGAAGACAAAATCTATATCAATTAATAGGGCTGAGCAGTGGTTAAGATATTTTAATTGTTCTCACAGAGTATAACAGCATGTACTTCTGAGAGATTTGCTAACATGTTATGATCAATTCCACTATATGTTTGTCTGTTTTAAGAGAACAGAATAAATTTTTATAGCAAATGACGTCTTCCAGAGTTTGGAATAATTGGCATTACAATAAAACACATGGGTTCCAGACAGTAAAACAGAAAAAAAGAAAGAAAGAAAAGAAAGAAAAGATCAAAATATTAATAATAATTTTACCACAAAAGGAAACAAGAAAAAATATTTCTGTAAACACTTATAAAAAATAACATCCATAATGAAAACAATTTTCTCTCTGAGTAGTAAGAGTAGGTCATCTTATTTAGCATGGAAGTAATCATCTTCTGAGTCCTAAGGAAGTAGAGTTCAACTTCTCAACTTAGAAGCTTAGTTGCATTTTATAAAACCTTTCCATTAAAGATAGCTCAACACTAAAAACTGGTTCCACACAAAATGAATAATTACAAAACACACAAGGGAAGGCAATCCAACATGCTCAGAGTGTCAAGTAGAAAAAAAAGTAAAACAAATGCTTATTTTGTGGTTTGCTAAAATTGTAAATTTTGTTAGAGATGCAAAAAGAAAATATTATTCTTCCAACTTTGTCAAAATAGACTACAAAATCCTTTAGAAGCATATAAGCATCAGCGAACAAGGGAGCTAGAAACCTGTCCATTGAAAATCCAGAGGATATTATTGGTATTCAGTACACTAGGTTTCACAACGATGACTTGACAAAGCCTTGACACTAAAAGTACTTATATCTGCTGTCAATCACTCACTCCTTGACAAGTCAAGTGCACATCCTTTCAGGGACAACTTCAATCAACATTAGCACTCAAAATACAGTACAAAGTGTCATTGCTTCAGAAATGAGAGGAAAAATAAAATGTGTTACATGGCAGGGAAAGGCAGAATGTGGATAAAAATTATTGAGCAAGTTGGAAGGCCGAAATCAGATAGCTTACATGAATTTCTTTGGGGAAAAATGCTCTTGTGCCATATATCCTATAAGAGAAAATTTTAATAACCCATCATAAAGGCTGACAAGGTCTATACTGTAATGAACCTTAGATTTACAAACTTGCCTTGCATACCAGATTATTACAACCAGGAAACTAAAGTTAATTTGGGAAGGGGGAGAAAATACCTAGATGTGATTCTTTTTTTCTTTTCTTTTCTTCTTTTAGAGACAAGGACTTGCTCTGTCACCAGGCTGGAGAAAAGTGGTGTGGTCATAGCTCACTGCATCCTCAAACTCAAGGGATCAGTCTAGTATCAGTCTTTCAAGTAGCTGGGACTACATGCATGCAACACTATGCCAGCTAATTTTTTAAAACTTTTGGTAGAAATGGGATCTTACTACATTGCCCAGGCTGGTCTTGAACTCCTAGCCTCAAGGAATCCTCCCATCTCGGCCTCCTAAAGCTCTGGGATTACAGGCATGAGCCACCATGCCTGGTGTAGATGTGGTTCTAAGACATGAAAAGAATCTGAAGCAATTGTATGTGTTGCTCCATTATACTCTCATTCATATGTCTTTTTCTTTTTAACCATTTCTTTTTAACTTTCACTCCTCCCTCTACTTTTCCCTCATTCTCTTAGGAAAGCAGAGTGAAAGAGCAAGGGGTCTTTCTGTGTTCAAATTAGTATTAATTAGATGATAACTCTGGGCAGGTTATTTAGCTTTTCTAAACCCTATCTTGCATATGTATAAAATATGTTCAATGATCTAAACTTTACAAGACTGCTGTAAAGGCTAAAGGCATAGTATTTGTACAGAAAGCATGTAACAGTGACTGGCACAGGAAGTATTCCATATACATCTACCTTTCCCCCCTCTCCTTCTGATTCTGTTACTTTTGACTTGGCAATAGCACCCCTGTGCTTTCTTGGATGCCATCTTCAGTACACTATAAGAGAGATAACCATGGATACTTAGAAGCCAATCGGTCTGTGCGAACACTTATTTTACAAATCATGACCTGTAACCCAACAATTTGCTAGTCTTATTTTGACTGGTATAGTCTTCCCAGTGTCAGGCATTAGCCATGTGCCAATCTGGTATTTGTCAGCTGCAAAGAATAAATGTGTAGCCTACTCAGATTAAACACAAAAAATATACTTTGGAGGCATTATACAAACTTAAGCTCCAGTAGAATTTATAAAAAGTGGCAGATAAGAGCAAAATTATCAAAAGTATTTCTTCTATTGCAACCATAATTAGTTTTCGTTACTATGACCTGATAAGCCATAAAAGCTGGAGAAATTAGACACATTTTATAAAATAAAAACCACCCTAATTTAAAAAACTGTAAGGGCAAATGTAGACAATGCTTTGGATTAGCATTTATTTCAATGCCTTTTACTAAAATAATTTGTGTCATATTTTCAATCATCCAATAGGCAAGCCCTGTACTTGATGCTAAATTTTATTTTTTCCTGCTGACTCCATTCACTTCACAGTCTTCCCACTCCAGTAGAATTGAAAAGACCAGTGGCCTTGTGTGGATGCCCTACACAAGAGGGAAGATTTATGAAGTACAAGAAGAATGTGCTTCCCTACTGAAGAAGGCAGATTTCTATTTTTTTCCATGTTCAACAGATAACTGAAATACAGAACATGTATACTTTTCTTTTTCAGTTGGTATCCTTGCCTTTTCTTTGCCCTTTATGTACATGTTATTAAACTTTTAGAGCCAAGAACTGCCAAAAGCCACAGAGCAGTCACTCCCCCTGAGATCAGAAAAGGAAATGAAACATTTTTATTTTCATCTAAAATGGTGATTTAAGTACTCAAATTTCATACCAAACTAATCTACCTACACATGTAGATTAGAAGCTACTTAGCAGCAATAGCATCAGAAAAGGAAGTTCTCATCACCCTGGGCAGTTCACACTAATAATTAGAAAGAAAAAAGGAAAGCTGTGAATTACGATGAACTAAGACTAAATAAGTGTCCATGTGGGATTAAAGGATTTGAGTTGTCAGTTTGATGTATAATGAATGTGAAAATCAGCCATTTAATTAAATGGTACATGGTATGATCACTTTGTTCTGCATTAAACCACTGAAGTTATCAGAATGCCTTTAGTTTAGCAATTGTTTACTATTACACTACCCCATGACTTCTCTCAGACACTGTTGAGCCTACATTATTCCAAATTTGAAATCTAGAATTTACAAAGTAATGTTAGTTTAGTTGATATATTTTATCAGTTTATTAGTGAATAAAGGAAATACAGGAATATAGAAAAACTGTTATTAATCACAAAGAGAATAAATTCCCAGATGTAGTTGACAAAAACTTTAAAGTGAAGAACATAAAAAATCTACAAAATCCTTTAAGAACAAAGTAGCATTGTCTCATAGACTATTTTAATAATTTAGACTTTTCAAGTGTTTTCTATCATATGCTTATAACTACTTGGAAACTTTACAGTTCAACAAGAGCCTTGAGGTCCTTGCAAATATATGAAACTAGAACAGGTCAAATGTCATCTGACTATGTTGTTACAGTGGGTTGGGCTATGAAAAGAAAAAAGGACAAAAATGATAAAAGCAGAAGAAAGTTAAGAAGATCTTGGCAGCCATTTGGAATTGAAGAAAAGGGGAAAAAATACTGGGGATATAAGAATAGGCTTGATTAGAATGATTAAATCACCCAAATTTCCTAACGCTAAAAGCCATATACTTACTGCTACTGCAATTCTTCCAAGGACATGTTCTGGAATTTTCCTATATACATCCAAAGATCCCCCTGTAGAGACAAATATATTGTGTTATTACAAGTGAAACTACCAAAAGAGGGCACGGGTCTCCTCCTCTGTGCATTCATTGTGAGAATCTGTTTTTTCTCTTCTTACATTATGCACTGGATTTTTAAAATAAAACTGGTTTTTGGTAAAATTTTATGACATAATTATACTTCCAGATAAGATGTAACTAGATACTTCCATTTTATTACTAAGTATATATAGTTATATACATGAAAGAGGTGAAGGAAATTAGTCAAGGAAAGGCTAAGAATCTGTACTTTATGTAAACTTAAATACATATACAAAATTATAAAGATCAATATGACAATCACATTCAGGTGTCTGCCTTGTTTACCACTTTTCTCCAATGCAAACCAGGATACTATCTTAGAATTTTCCTATTAACCAAACAAAAGCTAGTGGATATAATGTTCAAAATACACATAAAAACTAATAGTAAAAGTAGCAATATTAACACTTATCTAAATGAATGTTAGTCTTTAAATTAGGTACCAAGACAAGCAACAATCTATTTGCAAAGATACTATATTCGTTCAAAAAATTTTTTGGAAATTCCCTTTGATTCCACTTTGAAAATCACTTTGTGAGGTAAAAAAGAAAAATCAATCTTTTTACATCACAACTTCTTTTTCATTAAAATGGTATTCACTAACATCCTTCACCTTTGCCAAATTCAGTTTTTAATGATTTTTGGCAGTTTCCAAAAACGAAAACACTAAACTGTAAGCATAGTAAAGGCAAGAGCCATGTTTTCTGTTTGTTTTTCATTTTCATCAATCTATGAATTGGCACAACTAACAGATAGTAAATATTTAATAAATATCTGTCAGATGAATAAATGAATATGTGAAAATTACCATAAATTTCAATAGATAGATACATTTGCTCTGAAGCAGTTTCAAAAGAAGGGATCCCCAAAGCCTTCACAGCAACAGCATCACTGAAATAACCTACTTTGAAGGAACCAATATTCATTGGAAGTAGAAATTTGGGTATGCTTGTAAAATTTTTAATATCTGACAAATGGTGTAAGAATTTCAGGAGTATATACAAAAAAACCACCACTTCAGTCATTAATGATATGATTATGTGAAAACTATTAATATTTTAACAATATGTCATAACCTTTATGAATCAAATTGAGGTGTAGTTTTTCAGTTCTAAAACTTATCCAGAATATTTGAGAAATATTTTTTCTGTCAGAGGCTAAAAATTCATATTTACCACTTTACTACTATGTGATTTGTAAGTATGCCTCATAAGGTACCATAATAACATAGAGCATGTCATTCTTTTGAAATGCAGTCAAGTCCATTTTGCAAATGTGAATATTTTTATATGTCAAGTTCTCCCAAAGCTGAACATCAGAGAAAAAAAATTAAATTATTTTTCCCTGTTAAAAATATCATCTACATGAAGCTACATTCTGTTCAGAGCAGATAGAGGAAAAGAATCAGTCTTAGGTAACTTTTGCTTGTAGTTTCCAGATTCTGACGAGAAGATGGGAAACCACAGTGTGACTAAACTTTATGCTTTGCTTCTGGGTGCTACTGGAAAGATAATTTTTTTAAAAAAAGAGACGCTCTTCTGCAATGAACTGAACCATCCTTATCTACTAAAATAGCATTTTTATTATGGATGCAATAAAAGTGAAAATACAGCAGAAAAACATTTTATGTTCTCATTGATCTTTAAGATGAATTGCCAGGATGAACAGTTTCAAGAAGATCAAGCTTTACATGTTGGTCTTTGGAAGACTGACAAATGCAGCTTATTGGACCAACCCCTTATGAAGTGAATGGCTTGATGAGTTCTCTTTCTGAAATTCAGTAACTCTTATCAGGCTAAAAATGGCAGGAGGGGTTGGTTTCTAATTTTTACTCAGCTTTACAATCAATTCTATCCTACAGGTCTATGCAAAAAAAGCAATTCTTAGACTTATCAAATCATCAAACATTTAGTGCAGGAAGGGACATTAATGATCAAACCAATGACCTTATTTGATAGATGGGGAACCAGAGCTCAGAGAAGATCTGAACCTTTGAAATTCCAGAGCTGTAAAGATCTAAAAGGTTTCCTCATAACATCACATGGCTTGAGAATCACATGTAAACTTTTTGTAGTTTAAAAAATCTTACTGCAAGGTATACTATGATACACTGACAGAGAAAGTTTAATATTAGTTGAACTGTTGGTATTCAAGGCATTTAGAAAGTCATTCACCTGTGGCTCAGTTAGTTTGAACTTTTTGCTTATGACTCACTGGTTAGTTCTCTGTGACCTTACTTTCCTGTGTTTCCTGGTCACACACCATCCTTGACCAGTCACTTCACTGCATGTCTCTATCCACTATGGCAACCAAGAGGAACAGTGCTAACAGATAGCAAAAACCCATGTCCACTGCTAAATAACTACATGTTTCTGTTGATAAATTAGAGCCATCATCTTCATGTAAGTGAGTCAAAAGGACTCAAGGGTAAAGTCTGTGCTTAGTCTAACACAGGGTCTAAAATACAAAGTAGAATCTTGCACATAGGGCAAATACGAGTATGTGGTAAATGAATGAGAATATATTAGTCCCAAAATTTTCCTTAAAATGGCTATGATGATTATTAATTTTAACAAAATCAATCAACAGGAAAGTGGAGTTGCAGCAGACAAAATAGACTTTTAGACAAATATTGTTACCAGAGACAAAGACACAGATATTCTGATGATAAAAAGAATCAATCCACCATGAAGATGTATGTAACAATTGTAAACATATATGCACCTAACAACAGAGTTCTAAAATATAAGAAGCACAAACTAAAAGAATTAAAGGGAGAAAGGGACAGCTCAAAAAAATTAGTTGGAAACTTCAATACCCTACTTTCAAGAATGGATAAAAACAAACTACACAGAAGATTAGAAAATAAAATATTTGAGCAGCATTATAAACCAGCCAGACCTAACAGACATCTAAAGAACCCTCCACCCAACAACAGCACAATACATACTTCTCAAGCATATATGGAACGTTCTCCAGGGGAGATCACATGTTAGGCCTTATATAAAGCAAGTCACAATACATTTAAAAAGACGCAAATCATGCAAATTATGTTCTCCAATCACAATGGAATATTAGAAATTAAGAACAGAAGGAAATCTGAAAAATTCACAAATATGTAGAAATTAACAAACCACTAAATAAAAATGGGTCAAAAAGAAATCACAAGGGATTTCCTTTGTGGGAAAATAGAAAATACTTTCAGATAAGCTGGGAACCGTGGCTTGTGCCTGTAATGCCAGCTACTTAGAAGGCTGAGGCAAGATAATCCCTTGGGCCAGAAGTTCAAGACCAGTCTAAGCAATATAGCAAGACCTCATCTCTAAATAATAAAAAAATTAGTCAGGCGTGGTGACATACACCAGTAGTCCTAGTTACTTGGAAGGCTAAAGTGGGTGGATCACTTGAGCCCAGGAGTGAAAGGCTGCAATGAACTATGATAATGCCACTGTTCTCCAGCCTGGGTGACAGAACAAGAGCCTGTCTCTAAGAAAATAAAAAATAAGTTAAAAAAACAAAAGGAAAATACTTTGAAATGAATGAAAATAAAAACAACATACCAAAACTTCTAGGACTCAGCTAGAGCAGTGCTTAGAGGGAAATTTATAGCAGTAAATGCCTACATAAAAAGAAAGATCTGAAATCAATATCCTAAGTTTCTACCTTAAACAAACACAAAATGAACAAACTAAACCCAAAACAAGCAGAATAAAGGAAAAAATAAAATTAGAGCAGAAATAAACAAAATAGAAAATAAAAAAATAACAGAGAAAACAATTAAAGCAAAAGTTTGTCCTTTAAAAATAATTAAAGAAACTGACAAACTTTTAGCTACACTGACCAAGAAAACAAGAGAGAAAACTCAAGTTACTAAAATCTGAAATGATGGAGGTATCATCACTACCAACTTCACAGAAACAGAAAGGATTATAAAGGATTACTAAGAATAATTGTATACCAACAAATTAGGTAACCTAGATGAAACACATAAACTCCTAGAAAAACACAAACTGCCAAGCTGACTCAAAAAAATTTAAAAATTTGACTAAGGCTGTAACTAGTAAAGAAATTGAATTGGTAATAAAAAAGCTAATCAAATTTTATTCAGCTTCAAAAAGGAGAGAAATTCTGACATTGCTACAACAGGGATGAACCCTGATGACACTATGCAAAATGAAATAAGCCTGTCACAATAAGACAAATAATATATGATTCCAATTTCATGTGGTACCTACAGTAGTCAAATTCATAGAGACAGAAAGTAGAATGTTGGTTGCCAGGGGCGGGAGGAGAGGTCAATGAGGAGTTATCATTTACTAGGTATAGAATTTCAGTTTTGCAAGATGAAAAGAGTTCTGAAGATAAATGGTGGTAATGGCTGCCCAACAATGTTCATATACTTAGTGCTGCTGAACTATACACTTAAATATGATTAATATGGTAAAATTTTTGTTACATGTACAATTTTTCAAAAAAACATCAATCAGAAAAAACTTCCAGGACCAGTTGGCTTCACTAGTGAATTCTATCAGTGTTTAAACAAGAATTAACAACAGGTATTTGAAAAATCCTCAGCGTCACTAATCATCAGGGAACTGCAAATCAAACCCACAATGAGATATCATCTTAATCCAATTAAAATGGCTTTTATCAAAAAGACAAAAATAATGAATGATGTAAGGATGCACAGAAAGGGGAATGCCCGTACACTGTTGGTAGGAATGTGAATTAGCACAGCAACTATGGAAAGTAGCATGGAAGTTCCTCAAAAAACTAAAACTAAAAATAAATTAAAACTAAAAATAGAATTACCATATGATCCAGCAATCCCACTGCTGGGTATACATCTAAAAGAAAGGAACTTGGTAAATCGAAGAGCTATCTGCACTCCCTCTCGTGTTTATTGCAGCACTATTTACAACAGTCAAGGTGTGGAATCAAACTAAGTGTCCATCAGTGGATGCATGCATCAAGAAAATGTGGTTATATACACAATAGAATATTATTCAGCCATAAAAAAGAATGAAATACTGTCATTTGCAACAACATGGATAGAACTGGAAGACATTATGTTAAGTGAAATAAGTAAGGTTCAGAGAGACAAATATCACATGTTCTAACTCATGTATGTGGGAGCTAAAAAATTGATCTTATCGAGACAGAGAACTGAATGATGATTATCAGAGCCTAGGAAAGGTAGTGGACAAGGGGAAAAAGATGCTTTGGTTAATGGGTACAAAAATATAGTTAGATAGAAGGAATAAGATCTAGTGTTCAGTACTGTAATAGAGTGACTATAGTTAACAAAATTTATTGTATATCTTTAAATAACTAGAGGAATGGGATTGGAATGTTCCAACACAAAGAAATATATGTTTGAAGTGATGAATATCTCAATTACCCAGATTTGATTACTATACATTGTACGCTTATATTAAAATATCACATGTGCCCCATAAATAAGTACTACTATTATTTATCCATAAAAAGTTTTTAAAAAAAGTTAACATTCAATCTTTTACAGATTCTTCAAAAAAAAACAGGAAAGAAGGCAACACTTCCAAACTTATTCTATAAGGACAGAAATATCCTGATACCAAATCAGGCAATGACATTACAAGAAAAAAAAACTAAATACCAATATCCCTCATGAATATGGATGCAAAAATCCTTAAGAAAATACTAACAAACTGAATCCAGAATACAGAAAAAGGATTATACAACCTGACCATGTGGAATAATTCCAGGATTGCAAGATTGGTTCACTATACAAAAATCAATTAATACAATATTCCATATTAATAGACCAAAAACACATGATAATTTCAACAAAGACAGAAAAGGTATTTAACAAAATGTAATGCCCTTTCATGACTAAAATACTGAAAAAACTAGATATAGAAGGGAATTTCTTCAACCTGATAAAGGGCAACTACCCTAACTAAGCCCATAGCTAACATCACACTTAATGGCAAAAAAATGAAAACTTCCCCTCTAAGATTGGGAGCAAGAGAATGATGTGTACACGTCTATTCAACATTATACTGAAGGTTCTAGACAGAGTAATTAAGCAATAAAAAGAAATAAAAGGCATCCAGATTGGAAAGGAAGAAGTAAAACTGCATTTATTTGCAGATGACACGATCTTATATACAGAAAAGGAATCCATAAAAACTAAGGAATCCATAAAAACTATTACAGGTAATAAAGGAATTCAGCAAAGCTGCAGGATACAAGATCGATATAGTTTTATACACTGGCAGTGAACAATCTAAAAATGAAAAAATACTTAGGAATACGTTTAACAAATAATCGCAAAATTTGTCCACTAAAAATTATAAAACATTGAAAAAAATTAAAGAGGACCTAAGTAAGTTGAAAGATACCTGTGTTCATGAAACAGAAGACTTAATACTGTTATGACAGCAATATTCCCCAAATTGATCTATAAATACAATGCAATCCCTATCAAAATCTGAGTTGAATTTTTTTGGAGTGAAACTCCATTTGAATCTTAGAATCCAAGCTGATTCTAAAATTCAAATGGAAATGCAAGGAACTCAGAATAGCCAAAACAATCTTGAAAAAGAACAAAGTTGGAGCACTCACATTTCTCAATTTCAAAACATCATAAAACCGCAATAATCTAGAGTAATCAAGTACAAGTAATCAAATATAGGCTGGTACTGGTATAAAGACAGATCAAGGGGTGAAGGGGGCATGGGCAATATATGTAACCTTAACACTTGTACCCCCATAATACGCTAAAATAAAAAAAAATAAAAATAAAGAGATCAATGGAATAGAGTTAAAAGTACAGAAATATATTTTATGGTCAATTAATTTTCAACAAGGATAACAAGAAAATTCAGAGAGGAAAGAATAATCTTTGTAACAAATGGTGTTAGGATATATTGATATCTACATTCAAAAAGAATGAATATGGACCCATATCTCACACCATAACAAAAATTCAAGAATTGACCAAAGACTTAAATATAGAGCTAAAACTATAAAGCTCTTAGAAGAAAATAGGCATAAATTTTTGTGATTTTAGATTAGACAAGTTTCTTTTATATGACATCTAAAGTACAAGTAACCAAAGACAAAAAGCAGATAAATGGAATTTCATCAAATTTAAAAACTTTTGTTTTGTAAAGAACACTATCAAAAAAGAAAAAAGATAAGCCGAGTATGATGGTGTGCACCTGTAGTTCCAGCTACTGAGGAGGCTGAGGCAAGAGGACCACTTCAGGCCAGGAGTTAAAGATCAGCCTGGGCAGCATAGTGAGACCTTGTCTTAAAAAAACAAGTAGTGGGGAGGGGAGTGCAAAAAAATAAAAAAAGTAAAAGTGAAGACAATCCATAGAATGGGAGAAAATATTAAATATTTGCAAATCCTATATCTGGTAAGAGCTAGTACTAGAATACATAAAGAACTCTTACAATTCAAAAATAAAAATACCAGTAACCCATCTAAACATAGACAAAGAATCTGAGTATACATTTCTCAAAAGAAGATATATAAATAACCAATAAGCACATGAAAAGATGTTCAACATCTTGAGTCATTAGGGAAATCTACATCAAAACTAAAGTGAGATATTTCACATCCATCAGGCTACAATAAAAAAAGATACATAATACCAAGTGTTTGCACAGATATGGAGAAACTGGAACCCACATACATTAATGATGTGAATGCAAAATGGTGTAAAATGGAATGGAACACTTTGGCAGTTCCTTAAAAAGTTAAACATATAGTTACCATATGACCTAGAAATTCTACTCCTAGGTACACACACAAGAGAATTAAAAACATATATCCACACAAAAACTTGTATACAAAAGTACAGAGTCACACTATTCATAATTATGCAAAAAATAGAAATATCCCAAATGCCCATCAACTAATGAATGAACAAAATGTGGTATAGCCAAACAATGGAATATTATTCAGTGATAAAAAGGAATGAAGTTCTCATACAAGCTACAACACGGATGAACCTTAAAAATATTATGATATATAAAAGAAGCCAGACACAAAGGCCTTTTAATGTAGGATTCCATTTATATGAAATGTCCAGAATGGGTAAATCCATGGAGACAGAAGGTAGATCAGTGGTTGTCAGGGATTAGAGGAAAGGAGGAGTAGGGAATGAGTGCTAATGGGTGGACGGTTTCTTTCTAATGGGTGGTGATAAATGTTTTAGAATTAGATATTGGTGATGGTTGCATAACCTTGTGAATATATTAAAAACCACTGAATTATAAGCTTTAAAAGGGTGATTTTTATGAATTATATTTCAATAAAAATGTTTTAATATAACTGAAAATTGAAGACTTCAAAGAAAAAATGATGAAAGCTATAACATAATAACCTGTATTGGCTCTATTAAGACACTTACTCTAGTCAGTCTCTGCAATTGTCATATTATCCATATGCTTGTAAGAGTTTTAATTCTTGACATCTATAATAACTAACAATACATTATCCATCGTATTATAGTATCGAGGTATCAATATTGGCTCATTAAAAAGTCTTGCTGGACAATTGCTTTAGTAGTATACTGAGAATCCCCACAAGGAACTAAGTATATTTTTCAAAATTGCATTTTAATGGACTAGACACTGAAAAACTGAATATACAAAATTTAAAGACTACTTATGGCTGGGCACGGTGGCTCATTCCTGTAATCCTAGCACTCTGAGAGGCCGAGGCTGGAGGATCGTTTGAGCTCAGGAGTTTGAGACCAGTCTGAGCAAGAGCGAGACCCCATCTCTACTAAAAATAGAAATAAATTACTTGGACAGCTAAAGATATACAGAAAAAATTAGCTGGGCATGGTGGCACATGCCTGTACTCCCAGCTACTCAGGAGGCTGAGGCAAGAGGATTGCTTGAGCCCAGGAGTTTGAGGTTGCTGTGAGTCAGGCTGACTCCACGGCACTCTAGCCCGGGCAACAAAGTGAGACTCTGTCTCAAAAGAAAGCAAAGAAAACTGCTTATATTTAAAATGGGTACAATAATGATGACATCATTGCAGTGATAAGGTACCCAGAAATCTGTATTTTGCCATAATATTCAGATCAAGAAAGAAGAGCTACCAAAATAGAAACAAATAAAAAACACAAAATGACAGAAAGGGCTAAAGTCCAAAGAAAACTAAACACATCTTGGCTAAACAGCTGTGTTGAAAAACAATTTCTTGTCTTGCAATTAAGAACCGATTTCTTTCTGAAAGACACAGGACATTGGGTTAATAGATTTCTTTAAAAGAAAATCTGTTTTGGCTATTGGAACATTAAAAGAACAGAACATCTGTTTTACAAGTAAAGACAGATTGCACAGAAGAATCAAATATCAAACCACCGATTAGACTAGCATTTAATCTGTTCTATTTAAATTTTCAATAAAGTAAATGAAGTTATATTCTTAAAATTATAGCTCAGCTATAAATATTTAACACCAGGAACTCCTAAAATAAGATAATTTTAGAGTATAAAGGAAGCAATTATTAGCATATTTTAATTATTTTTAATTCTATTTGACATCTATATCGAAACCAGGTTTTAAAGCACTCTATATTTTTTTAAAAAATCATTTAAAAATATTGTAAAGGGAAAACTCACCATCCATGAATTCTGTACATATTGAAATTCTGTTTTCTACAAAAAATGCCCCATAAAATCCTATGATATATGATGAATCACACTGTAACAAAAATAAGACAAAAGTAGTTATAAACCTGCAAGCCAATACCATAGGAATGCTTTACAGGTAAAAATGACCAAGAAAAAAATTACCTTATAAAGAATTTCCAATTCAGACATAATTTGCTTCTGAAGTTCCAGTGTAATATCTAGTAGTATGACCTAAATATACAAAAATATTAACATTCACACATTTGTTCACCTTCAAATTTGTTTTATTGTTTAATTTTTCATATACTTTAAAAATTTTATTTATTTTGTTTTCTTATTCTTTTGCCTCAATTTCCTAGTAATGAGATGTTCACGTTCAAATTAAATATAGCTATAATAACTATGAAATATAAGAACTAAAATATATGGTGGTTCCTTTATTCATCTTCCCTTCCCCCTCCCCACTGCTATAACCCCCAGTAATATAAACAGTATCCACATCTGTCTAACCTTTTGTATTGGGGGAAGGGGTACAGGAGTGATTGATGGGACCAAAGAAAAAGCCAGGTCTCAAAGGTCAGCATTAATGGCTTTAAAAGTCAGTTAAGTTATAACACTCTTAATTTATGCACTCTATTTTGGCCACATTGGTTATTTTCAAAAGAGTAAGATAGAAATGACCCTCAAACCATTAAAAAAGAACTGTCTCATGATTCAGACACTAGGTGATAAAAAGAGAGGATGATGAGTAAAAATGACATTTAAAATGGTGTTTTTAGTTACAAGAGTAATAAGGAGTTTTAAAAATATATCATTTTTTAGTTTTCTTCCAATTTCTTTGCTAATACTATTACAGAATGTTGTTGCTTGATGGAACCTCATTTTATCTTAACTCTCTTTCAGTGAAGAGGAAACCAAGGTTTCCTTTCAGGGAGCCACGGGGCCTGGCACTGGTAGGACTCCGTCTGACTCTGTGTTTTCCAGTACTTCCTAATGCTTTACAGTTTTCCTTAAAATATCAACCACTGAGTCAGATTTGCAATGCAGAAATGTAAAATATTTAGACATTTACTCAGAATAAATTTGAGTTTATTTCAAACATTTATTTTTAAAGAAGACCATACCATTCAAATTTCACTAAGCACTTTAGTGAAACCAATTCAAAAGTAATTGTTTTTTACTTTAAAAAGACAGTGATGAGAATAAAACAGAAGTCAATTTTTAAGATTTGAGGCAGAGCTTCTGACTCCAGACATTTCTAGATAAAAACTTAACATTCAGGATTACCATGATAGTATAGTTAGGTACCATTTGACATTGAATTACCTTTTGTATTAAAAGTGAAGAATAAACACTTAAGTGGACATATAGGAATAACATTTATCGGTATCGGGTGTCAGGGAGGGTTGGATGGGGGGAGGGGAGCATAGGCAATATACGTAACCTTAACATTTGTACCCCCATAATATGCTGAAATTAAAAAAAAAGAAAAGAAAAGGTATTAAAGGAATCTTTCTATCAAAAATTATCCCCTTTCCCTTGTACCTGAAAAATCCAATACATTGACTTTCATAAAATAAATAAATAAATAAAACTGAAGAATATATATAAATATAATCATACAGGAGAAAAAACAAATTTTGAATTGCAAACTGCTGATAAAGAAAGAAAAAGACAATTTTAAAGTATACATTTTATAGCGGTGACATCGATTTAGGGGAGGGGAAGGTGAGAAAAAGGGTATAGCCAGTTTCTAGCAATAGTTTGCTTTAGGGTTATTTATAAAAGCTCTCACTAAACTAGACTGTAAGTGTAATACAAAACTGCCAAGAAACATTTAAACACTTCTCCTGATCAATAGTCATTTGCCAACAATATTCACTTACATTTTTGTTCTTGTATAAAACTTAGCAACAAAATTCATTCATTTGGGGTTGATTCAACATTATGCTATAAAATATTACAGCTATTCATACCACTATGTCAAGTACAGGGAATCTTTCACCCTAAAAAACTCTGCTAAAAGGAATGAAGTTATTATTGACCATAAAGCAGTGGCTCTCAACCCTGGCCTTGTGTTATAATACTTGGGGCACTTTTAAAAAATCCATATGTACAAGTCTTACCCCAGAACAATAGAATCACAATCTCTGGGGTTGAGCTCACATCTTCATATTTTTAAAAAGTTCCCCAGCTGATTTCTAACCCACAGTAAGGTTGTGAACCATTTATTTAAGGCTTCAAAAATGCCATTTATTCAGTGCTAAGATATATGACCACTAAAATACATTTCATCTCCAGGCCAACAACCTAATTGTTGACATGATTCCACAAAACTAACACCTTGGAATTAACCACAAACTACTGGTTGTAAACATATCATTCCCTTGATCAAGAACCTTAATTGGGGAACTTCCCATGGCCTAGAATAGAGTTAAAACTCTAGCATGACATTCAAAGAATTCTTCCACAATCTAGCTCAGCGTGTCAAAGTAGTACCAAGTAAGTGATGTGTGATTTAATTAAAGTGCTCCTTACAACCACAATCCTCTATATAAGAAGCTGTTTCTAGACAGAAGAAATGGATTGCTTGACTTTTACCACTGAACTTAAAACCGAAGACAAAAACACCAAAATAAATAAAAATGCCATGCTGACCTAAAATGTAGCATTGAATACAGTATTTGTGGAGCTAATCCACTGCACTCTAATTAGTAATCACTGTTACTATTTGCTATAGTCTACAATAGTGGAGATTCCATAATGATGGAAAAGTGAATAAAGCAATTTCTAGGAACTTGGAAGGGAAAGTAAAATCCACCTTAAAATAACTCTAGTCAAATGCTCTCTATTTTCTGGGAGACTTGGCACTCTGGGTGGAAGGTTAATTCTCCTTCCCCTGGGCCTTACTGTGAGTGAGCTTTAAAATTGCTAAAAATAAACAAGTCCAATTCCATACTTGAAGGCAATAGCGAAAAGCACAGCAAATACTAATTTTCTTTTGAAGTACAAGGAAAGTGTGGACTCCCTGAGTCTTCGTTACTTTTTTCTCCTTGGCGCTAAAGGTTTCAAACTGGAGGGAATTTGAATATGAAGCATTTCATGGAGAAAGGGTTAAATAAGAAACCGAAATACCTGAGTGCATTTCCACTGCTCTCCACTACACCTCCAGGACAAATAAGGATGAGTTGTCAAGTTAAATATAAGCAGTCAAGTGACTGAATTATAATTTACTCTGTGCTCAATTTAAATTAGTGTGAGGCTATTAAAATATACAGTATAAATACGGCAATTCATCACAAGCTGTCATGGATGACTTCATTTATTTGCTGGAGTGGCACACGCTCCACTAAAGGGAAGGAGAGCAAAATCACAGGTCAAATTAAGCCGCTATTCTGTTTTAATTCACTTATTTAATCTGTGGCGACATAATTGTCTTCTACAGTATGTACAACTCAGAAAGGAAATTTGGGAGGATTACAGTCAGTATACAAATGATTAATCAAATGGTCCATTTAAATGCTAGTTTAAAAGCAGCAGAAACCCAAAGCAGTCAAAGAATGATAATCAGCACATGCTCTATACAATGCTAAGAAATTTCCTATTAAATGGATTTTTCCCAATTAGAAAACAAACAATACTGGGAAATCTATTAAATCCTCCAAGCTTTACTACTTGAAAGATTTTATAGAATACATTAATGGTACAGAAAGCTTTTGTTTGCAAGATGGCTAACAGTATTTTTATTTGTTTGTTTTCTGCTCTACTTATTTGCAATTGTCTTGCCTACCTACACCAAACAAACAAACAAAAAGCTAGGTAGAAACATGTTTCATGAGTTACATATAGTCATTATCAAATAGTTATCTTTAAAATGTGATTAGCACCATTTTCAAAATGTTCTCTTTGAGGCAGATATTTTTTAAATTCAATGGCATAAAATAAAAATTCAAGGTAATTTTATTCTTCCCCAAATTCAACTTCTTTTAAAAATATCTAACATGATATCCTCCTACTTCTGAAGTCTGAAAAAGGAAACATAACAATATGCTGTTTGTCTAATAAATAAGAACATTTAGAAGCATGACAAATTAGAAATATTTTGAGTAAGAAGAGAAAAGTAACAGATTTTCAAGGACTCTCATCTAATTGTTCCTACAGACATTCAAAGTGTGGGTCCAACTAACCACTTGACTTGGGAAATTAAATTTCCCTCATCATTCTATGTAGGTGTCAGAGCGCTGCAGGTGATTCTGTTTAGGCAAGGACTGTGATTTGCTGCTCTTCGAAATCCCTCTGTGAGACCAGGCAGCCCCATTTCACAGCTGAGGTCACTGAGAGGTTCAAGTGACATGCTTGAAGTCACACAAAAGTCAGGAGAGGGTCAGGAAAAGATCAAAAATGCACTTCTAACTCTTAACCTTCCATTTCACCCTTTAATATAAAAAAAGCTATGAAATATTCTAGGTGAGAGCAATGGCCCATACAAAGAACACTATAGGATATTTTGTATGTGAGCTGAACCTGCTTTCAAGATGTTACTTCAAAAGATGAATGAATGAACTAAAGGACAAACAAAAGAACAAAAATTTATTCATTCAGTCATTCAACAAATTATGTGTTGAATTCTTACTCATGTGTAGTTCTCTACACTAGATCCTATATGCAAGATTCTGCAGCAATCAGTGAGGCAAGAAGATAAATCAGATCAGTTTCCCACAAGAGATTTCAATAAGGGAAATGTACATGTATACTAATAGCAAAATACAAGACAGTATGTGATAACACCCTTAAGAGACACATACAGAGAATTCCAGAAAGGTTCAAAGAAGAAAATGAGTGAGTGTGAGATATACCATATGTGACAGGGTTTATCCAGAAAAGTTCAATGGAGGAACAGGCTTTTGAACTGATCCTTGAAGGGTGTTAAAGACTTTGATAGGTGGAGATACGGGTGAAAGCATCCTAATTAGATAGGAACACATGAATCAAAGTTGTTGAAGTGAGAAAGTACTGGGTACAGATAAGGCAACGAGTTCAACTTAAAAGCAGCACAGGATTCAGACATGTAAAATAATGCTATAAAAGCAGACTGATGACATACTGTGGAGGATTTTGAGTTCCATCTTCTAGAGCTACAGTCCCCAACCCGTGGGCTACAAACTGATACCAGTCTGTGTCCTGTGAGAAACCAGGTTGTACAGCAAGAGGTGAGCCTGGGCAGGCAAGGG